TTTCCTTTTCTGCCACAAGTATACTGGTGGTAGTTAAATTTCCTCTTCATTTATTCATAGGTTGACAGAACTAGAAAAATAGGTGTCACCAGGTATCCCAGACTTGGAGGTAACTGCATTAACTAGATCACTGCATTACCCTCCTTTGGGAGAGGGTGACTATATTCTGGTGACACATGGAGTAATTTCATTAAGTCAGTTGGAAGATTTTATTTAACTGAATGTATAAGAAGGACAAATTGTATGTTGGCTAGCCAAAAACCACATTGTTATTTTTGCCTAATCAACTTTCAATTCTTCCTTCTTCTCTAATATCCTCTAATATCCCTTTGAGAAATGATGACTCCCCTTACATTTATGCAAATAGGACTGTTAACCAAAGTCTTTCCCTCTTATGGTCAAGGGATCAGATGACCCTACTGAGGCCAATTAAACCCTTTCTTCCAGAAACTTGACTCTTGTATAAAGTGTTGCATATGGGAAAATGGTCAATTTGATCCAAAATTTTGGTGGTACCAAAAGAGAATGGCCATTAGTTTGTGCTCTAATTTTTTAATCCTCAGAAATATTTATATTTCTAAGATAGCCTATACAGAATCAGAATGAAGAGGAAATTATGCTCAATTTTTAAAATAAACTTAAAAATGAAAATCAAAGAAATTATAAACCCAATTTAACTGAGAGCGAGAGTGGAGGCAAAGCACAACAGCATAATTTTGAAACATTGCTCTTAAACTTAAAATATTGTTCTTGTGAATACTGTTTTATTGCTGCTGCTTTTAAATTACCATTGGTTTTCTGTAACTGTCTAGAGTAGGCTGTTGCTAGATATGACGATCAGTTCTGCAGTTACTATGGATGGTGTTCTGCCTGTATCCTCGGCCTGATCTGCCAGCCCTTCCAGTGAGCTACCCAATAAATGTCTGCCACTGTGGTACTATGACCTGCTAATGTTATGCCAGCATATGTCGCTGGCTGTCAGCAAACTCAAAACCTCGGCAGGTGTCCAGGTGCAGAGCCTAAGTTACAAGGGAGGCTGACAAAGCAAGTTCCTGGCATTTTCACCTTCTATAGAGGAAGGAGTGTGCTTCAAAATCAAAACTGAAAGATGAAGAATTCCCCAAGCATAGGAAGAGGGCTCAGATTCTCAGCATTCAAAAATATTGAAGTTTTTCACTACAATACTTAATACATGCCAATGATTAAAAAAACATATGTAGGGTACTAGAAGAGTTGAAATGGGCTTTCAAAAGGGTCACAAAGTCACATCTGTAAACAACTAATAAAAATCTTTAGCACCAATGTTATAAAAAATGTTAACTATACCTTGTAATAACGGAAATAGTCTCGCTCTTGTAGTTTTTTTATTTTAGGGAAGATTTTGAAGGTGTTGAAGTTATCTATGCTATCAATATCACACAAGCAATCATCCAGGACTCCAGTGACCTAGAAAAAAATACATACATAAAATTTTAAATATGTAAATTACTGATGTTTCAATCTTAACAAATCTGTACTATTACTTAGAAATATAATTTATTCACTCAAGTTAGCTAGCATTTGCTGATTAAGATACATTAAAGCAATCATACTTTTTACTATGGTCAATTAAATAAAAAACAGTAGGAGTAGATATACCCATTCTGAAGAACTAAATATTCTTGTTTAATGGTCAAAAAGAAAGATACTGAATGTTCCTTCCATTACCTCAACATATATAAAATCCAAGTAGTTGTTAGAATGCTAAAACAGTTTCTCCTAAAACTAACCTAGAAGTCACAAAGCACAGTGATACTGCCGTAGTAACCCTATCTTTCTTTTAGACTGCCATTTGTGGAACATATTATATTTTCATGTATTGTGTAAATGCTCTGTGAAATAGGTATTATTATCCTCATTTTACATATAAGGAAATTAAGGTTTACCAAGGTTAAAATAACTTTTCAAAAGTAGAATAGTCCCAAGGCCATCGCACTTTAAAATACAAGTTTTTACCCACTATTCAAAGTGTACGCTAATCAAAGAAGAGAAACTCGTATGCAAAGTGAATTCTTAGTCTAAAAACTCCATAAAACATCCTTCAGCTAAATTTTAAACTGGGACTCATTGACACCCACAACTTGGATGAATCTTCCGGGGATACTGAGTGAAAAAAGCTAATCCCAAAAGGCTACATACTGCGCAATTTCAATTATATATCATTTTAGAAATTGGAACAGATTATTGGTTACCTGGGATGAGTAGGAGCTGCAGAGAGGAAGTGGGGCAGAAAGGAGGTAGGTGTAGCTATAAAAAGGCAACAAGGATCTTTGTGTGATGGAACTCTTTAGTATCTGTGTGCTGGTGGGTCCACCAACCTATGCGTGTGATAAACNCAGTCTCTCAGTTACCATTTGCTCCAGCAATTCCACTCCAAGGTACATACTCAAAGAGAACTGAAAACACATGTCCATACAAAAACTGCACCTTCATGTTCACAGCAGCATTACTCGTAGTAGCCAAAAAGTGTAACAACCAAAATGTCCATCAACTTACAAATAAACAAGATTAGGTATATTCATACCATGATATATTCATTCAGGAATAGGAATTAAGTACTGATATATGCTACAACACGGATGGCCCTTGAAAGTTTCATGTTAAGCAACAGAAGCCAGTCTCAAAAGAGCACATATGTTATGGTGTTATCTACATGAACCTTCCATAGCAGGCAGATCCACAGAGAAAGAAAGTAGAGCAGTGGTTTTTGGAGGGAGGAGGAAACAGGGAGTGACTGCTAATGGGTAGAGATTTCTTTTTTGGGGGTGTTGAAATGTTTTAAAATTTGACTGTGGTGATGGTGGCACAATCTGTGAATATACTAAAAACCACTAAATTGTACACTTTAGAAAGAGTAAATTTTATGGAATATAAATTATATCTCAATAAAGCTGTTATAAAAAAACAATAAAGCTCATCTCATTGTACACATGTCTGGATGGGGAAATGTAGCAGAATAGGTACCATTCAGACCTGGAGTTCTTAATCTGGGGTGTCCATGGGCTTCCCCTGACCCTGCCCCAGTCAGAGAGTCTGACTCTAGTTATGCTTGGGGGAAGAGTCTGTGAACCTCCTGAAATTAACTGCAATTATTTTGGGGTGGGGAGAGTATGGTACATTTTCTGGCTCCAAAGCACCTGGAATCAGACTGCCTAAAATTAAATCCTTGCCCTGGCTCTTGTGATCTAAGTAAGGTACTTAACATCTCTGCACTTGAATCTCCCTGTCTATAAAATTTTAAATAGTAACAATATACACCTTAAAGGCTTGTGAGAATCAAATGGATTGATACAAGTAACGTTCTTGAAAAGGTACCTGTCACATAGTAAATGCTCACTAAATTAAAAAAGTAATGATAATGAAAAAATAATCACTCAATTTCACAGTGACATGAACATACAATTAAGTAAATAAAGAAAAGACAAGAAAACACTTTTGTTTGTAGACTAACGCCAACTAATAAATGTAGAAAAAATGAACTCAGGAAATCACTATTTGGCAACCATCATATAAATCATACAGGCAAGAATCATCAATGGATGCTAAAACTATTATGGTGAAATGACGATTAAAAATGGGATATTTTCACAGTCTCAAAGATTTTTTTGACTCTACAGTGAAGAAATCTGGTAACCACGACCTTAACCAAGTAATCAAAATGGTATCATGTACCTCTCCAGATATGACACCTTGAGAAGGACACAAGGACACATCACTTCTGTATGTAGTATACCTGCCAAAAATACATGACCTGAATCTCACCATTAGGGAACATCAGAAAACCCCAAAATGAGTAGTCTATAAAATAACTGGTGTACAAGAAGGAAGGGAAGGAGGAAGGGAAGAAGGAAAAGAAAAAAAGTTTAAGTCAAGACAACAAAAAGCAAAGAAATACTGAGGACTATTCCAACTAAAAGACAACTAGAGACATGACATTCCATATAATTTACAATTCTGGATGAGAAACTTTTTTTGGGGGGTAAGGCACATTAGTAAGTCAGCTGGCAATATGTGATTAAAGTCTATAGACATTAGTGTTATGTTAAAGCTAACTTCCTGATTTTGTTAATTATGCTGTAGTTAGGTAAGAGAATAATTTGTTCTTAAGGAAATATATACTCAAGTATTTAGGGGTAAAGGATCATCATGTTGGTGATTTACACAGAAGAGGTTCAGAAAATACTAATAAAAATGATAATGAAGCAAATGTTAGATAGACATTAATTTAGGGAGTCTGGATAAATATATGGCAACTACTTGTATTATTCTTCCAGTTTTTCCATAGGTCTGAAATTATTTCAAACTTAAAAGTTAAAAAAATTTTATTCTCAAAGAAAAATGAAGATAATTCTTTTTAATTGTCCCTTTAGGAAGGACATTGGTTCAGATGGTTTTTTTCCTATTTTTAAGGACAAAAAAACTAGACTAATTGGGTAAGAAAAGCAAAAAGTGAAAACATAGCTTAGAACTAATAACTGTTTAACAAGAATATAATTATGTTAGGTGTCAAAAAAACAATATAAAATATAAAAACAATATAAAATATAAGTGAAGACCTAATTCTAAGCCTGAAATTTCCCCACTTCAATTCTAAAGTTGACATTTAAGGTCCAGAGCCTTTTACTTTGCCTATGAAACAAAATGCAGATTCAAAAAAGCATGAAGTAAAGAGTCAGCCAATTGTAGATTATCCTAGAATAGGTTTTTGATTTCCCATCCATTTTGTGGAATCAAACTACACTCCCACATCCAATCATCAACACCACTAGATACAAGAGTGTCTTCAAATCTATTTTGGTGACAAATATACAATAAATCTTCAATAACCTGGTTAAAAGAGAGCTGAGAGCATATTAATTTGATGACAAGTCCAACTCCACTGACACTAGCCTAAAATACAGTCATGCTTATCTAAAAGTCCAAGAGAATGCAATTTTTTCCATTATTTTAATTTATTTTACCTCTGGACAGGGCTCCACATGACAGTCTTTTATTGAACAATGGCCATCTTCTGCCCAGAAAGGACATGGTCGCTTCAGATTAACCTTGATGGAAACAAGAGTAAATGTGTGTCACAGTTCTGCAATGTTCTCTAAGTGTCACTGCGCTGGGCACCCGTGTCACAGTGGTGAATAAGAAGGAACAGCTTCCTATCCTGTGGCACCTATGCAGTGCAGAATTTAAAATTACAGCAGTTTTTCAGACATCCAGATGTATTATTAATCTTTAAAAATAAATGACTGCTATTAGTCCTCTGACACTTCAAAAAGGAATGAAGTTACATACACTGCCATTTGAAGCCCCTGGAAAGCACTGTAGGACTACTTTGATGTGTGTCAGCCCCATACTCCTACCTCACTGGCCAGGGCTTGCTCAGGCACCCATTTACCTAACAAGTATGCACTGCACACCCACTAGGCATCAGGCACTAAGTAGGCTCCAGGAGAAAAAGAGACAGAAACTGCTTTCTCCCCTGGAATTTAAAGTCTACTGGAGGAACAGAGATGATGTATTTTTATGTTCATTTATACAAATCTTGGTAAGTGCTACAAAGGAAAATCCAGAGTTTTGTGACAGAAAATAATGGGGCTGGCGCATGGAGGCCTCTGAAGAAGTGTGCATTTAGATATGGTGACAGAGCGTGAACAGTCCTGGGAACTGAGAAACTCCAGTTTAGCTGACTTTTAGTGGGGAAGGGGAAGGGTGGCAGGGAATGAGGGATAGAGGGAAGGGCCAGATCATTTTAACCACAGTAAAAACTCTGGATTTTCATATTGTAAACATGACAGGAAGACAATAATTCAGTAAGATTTCCAGAGGATTTCTGAAGCCCCAAATCAATTATTTTATTCTTGTTTCCTCCCTCTTGTATCCCCTTCAAACAACTCACTACCCACCCTTCTCCCCATGTCCACTGGCACCCCTCGTCTCTCACCAAGACTGTCCCAAGTCTCCCTGCTTCCACTACCATCTACTCTCCACACAGCAGCCATAAAAATCTCTTTGCAACACAAGACAGATCACATCAGTCTCTGCTCAAAACCACCCTGTGGCTCCCATCACCTTGAGAGTCAATCTGACTCCGCAGCAAGCTCCACGAGGCCCTCCACCATGTGGACCCTTCCCACCCTCTGGCCCATCTACTAACACACTCCTCTTGCCACACTGGCCTTCCTGCTGGGAATGCACCAAACTCCTGTCTATCTCAGAACCTTCACAGTGGCTGCTCTCTTTGCCTGTAGTGGTGCTTCTCCAGATCTTTCCATGGCTTACTCCCTTCACCTCCTTCAGGACTCTCGTAAATATCACCTGAGCAGTGACCTTCCCTGACCAGATGCTCTAATTAGTGCTCCAGATGCACCCCACACATAGTTTTATATTCTTATAGCACTTAGCACTACCCAATTATTTCTTTACTTATTTACTGTCCTCACCCCCCACTGTAAGGATTGGGCTTTTGCTTTGCTCGTTATTTTATCCCAGCACCTAGAACACACAACAGACACCTCAATAAATGTGTTAATGAAGTAAACAATAACTACATCACAGCGGAGGAGACAAAAATTGATACAGCCTGGGAACACAGGAGAGACTAGTCAATTCTGACTGCAGACTTGTCAGGGAAGGCCTCCTGTCAGTAACATGTAAAATGGGTGTGACCAGAAGTTTCCTAGAGAAAGTGCTTTCTAGGCAGAGGGATCAGGATATCTACAGACAAAGCAGCTTGAAACAGCATGGCACATCTGGGAACTGCAGGCTCCCTTGAGCTCTTGGCTTATAAATCCAACTGACTCCTTGATGTGTCAGTGGGAGAGCCACACGCAGTTCAAACTATTACCAGGTCCAAAACTGCCCCAGTCATCCCAGGAATGGCAAGTCTTTTATTCTCATTCTTCAGCCCAAAATCTTGGCATCTTCCTTGACTCCTCTCTCACCCCATGTACTATACCCTCTAAAAATTGGGTCAGTTCAAAATCCAAGTCCCGATAATGGCCAAGAATACCTTACATAGTTGGGTTCCCTGTTCTCTGCCCTTCGTTCACTGTCCTCTTTCTTCTTTCTGCACATACCCACATGGTTTTTTCATTCTTGTTACATTGTCCTCAAATGCTGCCTTCTCTACTTGCTGTTTTAAGTTGCTAAAGTTTAGGCTAATTTGTTATGCAGCAATAAAGAACTAGCAACAGTGTAAGTTGTGTACCATGGTGGACACCGCACCATGATCCCAGATTACCCTTCTGGATAAAGGCCTTATCATTCCAGCTCCCTACAGGCTGCCACACCTCAGCTGGAGAGAGCCCCTTTGCCCAAGGTCACACTACCCCTTACCATGGCTTTCATCCAAGGACTGATATATGGATATCAAGGCCTAGATCTTTCCTTCAAGGGCAGACAGCTCTGGAGGGTCATCCCATCTTAAGAACTCTCCAAAGGGTCACCTGAGGTTTCCACTAAGGCTGCACCATCTTTACTTCTCCCTTTGTCTAATCCTCATTTCCTTCCTTCGTTTTCCTCCCCTTGCTTGGTTCTAAGGGTAGTCCCTAATTAGCCTCTTGAGCACTAATCACTGTCTCAGAATCTACTTCCCCAGGAAATTAAGCCGTGACAACTTGTCCGTTTCCAGAAAAAGAAAAAAAAACCTGTTGATATTTTTATTAGGATATTAAATTTATATATTAACTTGGAAAGAATTAATATCTTGGTGCTAAAAGACATCTGTCCACTTGTTAAGCCTCCTTTTGTGTCTTTCAGGGGTGTCTTGAGGCTTTCTTCTTTTAGGTTTTGCTTGTTTTTTGATACATTTACTCCTATATATCTTTTTTCATTGCTAGTTTAAGTGGGGATTTCTTTTCCACTGTATGCTCTTTGTGTTAGTCACTGCTGCATCCATAGCACCTAGGTAGGACAGGGCCTGCTACAAATAATAGTTCAATAGATATTTGGTGAATAAAGGAATGGAATGCATTTTTCAAGAGGGAAATTATAAACATTAGCTATAGCGACCAACTGACCAGTTGACAGAAGTAGACTGTTGTTTCTACCTATATTGCCTTGCTTAACGAATCATAAGTATGTATGTGTGTTTTTAATTAACCTCTTAGCTTTCCTTTTCTGCCACAAGTATACTGGTGGTAGTTAAATTTCCTCTTCATTTATTCATAGGTTGACAGAACTAGAAAAATAGGTGTCACCAGGTATCCCAGACTTGGAGGTAACTGCATTAACTAGATCACTGCATTACCCTCCTTTGGGAGAGGGTGACTATATTCTGGTGACACATGGAGTAATTTCATTAAGTCAGTTGGAAGATTTTATTTAACTGAATGTATAAGAAGGACAAATTGTATGTTGGCTAGCCAAAAACCACATTGTTATTTTTGCCTAATCAACTTTCAATTCTTCCTTCTTCTCTAATATCCTCTAATATCCCTTTGAGAAATGATGACTCCCCTTACATTTATGCAAATAGGACTGTTAACCAAAGTCTTTCCCTCTTATGGTCAAGGGATCAGATGACCCTACTGAGGCCAATTAAACCCTTTCTTCCAGAAACTTGACTCTTGTATAAAGTGTTGCATATGGGAAAATGGTCAATTTGATCCAAAATTTTGGTGGTACCAAAAGAGAATGGCCATTAGTTTGTGCTCTAATTTTTTAATCCTCAGAAATATTTATATTTCTAAGATAGCCTATACAGAATCAGAATGAAGAGGAAATTATGCTCAATTTTTAAAATAAACTTAAAAATGAAAATCAAAGAAATTATAAACCCAATTTAACTGAGAGCGAGAGTGGAGGCAAAGCACAACAGCATAATTTTGAAACATTGCTCTTAAACTTAAAATATTGTTCTTGTGAATACTGTTTTATTGCTGCTGCTTTTAAATTACCATTGGTTTTCTGTAACTGTCTAGAGTAGGCTGTTGCTAGATATGACGATCAGTTCTGCAGTTACTATGGATGGTGTTCTGCCTGTATCCTCGGCCTGATCTGCCAGCCCTTCCAGTGAGCTACCCAATAAATGTCTGCCACTGTGGTACTATGACCTGCTAATGTTATGCCAGCATATGTCGCTGGCTGTCAGCAAACTCAAAACCTCGGCAGGTGTCCAGGTGCAGAGCCTAAGTTACAAGGGAGGCTGACAAAGCAAGTTCCTGGCATTTTCACCTTCTATAGAGGAAGGAGTGTGCTTCAAAATCAAAACTGAAAGATGAAGAATTCCCCAAGCATAGGAAGAGGGCTCAGATTCTCAGCATTCAAAAATATTGAAGTTTTTCACTACAATACTTAATACATGCCAATGATTAAAAAAACATATGTAGGGTACTAGAAGAGTTGAAATGGGCTTTCAAAAGGGTCACAAAGTCACATCTGTAAACAACTAATAAAAATCTTTAGCACCAATGTTATAAAAAATGTTAACTATACCTTGTAATAACGGAAATAGTCTCGCTCTTGTAGTTTTTTTATTTTAGGGAAGATTTTGAAGGTGTTGAAGTTATCTATGCTATCAATATCACACAAGCAATCATCCAGGACTCCAGTGACCTAGAAAAAAATACATACATAAAATTTTAAATATGTAAATTACTGATGTTTCAATCTTAACAAATCTGTACTATTACTTAGAAATATAATTTATTCACTCAAGTTAGCTAGCATTTGCTGATTAAGATACATTAAAGCAATCATACTTTTTACTATGGTCAATTAAATAAAAAACAGTAGGAGTAGATATACCCATTCTGAAGAACTAAATATTCTTGTTTAATGGTCAAAAAGAAAGATACTGAATGTTCCTTCCATTACCTCAACATATATAAAATCCAAGTAGTTGTTAGAATGCTAAAACAGTTTCTCCTAAAACTAACCTAGAAGTCACAAAGCACAGTGATACTGCCGTAGTAACCCTATCTTTCTTTTAGACTGCCATTTGTGGAACATATTATATTTTCATGTATTGTGTAAATGCTCTGTGAAATAGGTATTATTATCCTCATTTTACATATAAGGAAATTAAGGTTTACCAAGGTTAAAATAACTTTTCAAAAGTAGAATAGTCCCAAGGCCATCGCACTTTAAAATACAAGTTTTTACCCACTATTCAAAGTGTACGCTAATCAAAGAAGAGAAACTCGTATGCAAAGTGAATTCTTAGTCTAAAAACTCCATAAAACATCCTTCAGCTAAATTTTAAACTGGGACTCATTGACACCCACAACTTGGATGAATCTTCCGGGGATACTGAGTGAAAAAAGCTAATCCCAAAAGGCTACATACTGCGCAATTTCAATTATATATCATTTTAGAAATTGGAACAGATTATTGGTTACCTGGGATGAGTAGGAGCTGCAGAGAGGAAGTGGGGCAGAAAGGAGGTAGGTGTAGCTATAAAAAGGCAACAAGGATCTTTGTGTGATGGAACTCTTTAGTATCTGTGTGCTGGTGGGTCCACCAACCTATGCGTGTGATAAACGCATACAGAAATAATACCTGTATATACACCAAGGAACCTGAATGAGATCTGCGGGTCGTATCAGTGTCAATGTCCTGGCTATAATACTGCACTATATGTTAACAAAATATTACCATTGGGGAAAAGTGGATAAAGGATACAGGGTATTTCCTGTTATTTCTTACAAGTGTACAGAAACTACAATTATATCAATTAAAATTTAAATTTATAATCAAAAACGAGACCATCCGTAAGAGGAATATATGCAAAGGATGGTCAGAAAATGGAAACCAGTCCCTCCCAGTTGTTTCTTTCACACTTTTTCCCTCGGGGCATAAATGTGTTCCCAAACCTGCATACAACAAACAGAGCTCTATTATCTCAAGATAAAGAACAAGGAATCTTGGCAAGAATTTTGGCTCTAGAATTCCATATGCTTTGGTATCCTACTTATGAATTACTAAGACTGTCACTCTACTGAATGTCTTTTCACTGCTCTCTAGCTTACTACTTACAGAACTTCAAATTCTACATAATAGGAAAAAAAATACAAAGCAAAAAACTTCCTAGGTTTTAAAAAATATTTTATCCAGTGATTGCCCTTTCTTGTAATATTTTAAGTGTTAACAGTAAACCACACACACATATATATATATTTTCATTGTCGTAGGGGCTGGGGTATGGTCTACAGAATTATGTGTGCACATATTTCTAACCCTGGCATACTACTACTAAGACAAAAACCTGTATATCACCAAAATTTACAAAAGTAGCAATGAATACTGCCAGTATCTTCCAAGTCCTTCCTTAATTACATCCATCTCACTCCCCCTAGAGGTAAAAAATCTTATTTTTGTTTACTTTTCTTTGTAATTTCATCACATATGATATATCCCTAAACACTATAGAGGGTTTTCTGTTTTGAAGTTTAATATTGGTGGAATCTAATGTGTGAACTGTGACAGGGTTCCTATACAAACATTTTGACAGCTATCCAAGATGTTTTATAATATTTTCAATCATTTTCCCTGCTGTAAGAGTACATTATATGGATATATCAGTTTACTTGTTCTACTGTTGATCTGCATGGTAAGCAAAATAATGCCCCCCCAAAGATGTCCATGCCCTACAACCTTGAATATGTTACTTTACATGGCAAAAGGGGCTCTGCAGATGACAGTAAGAATCTTGAAATGGTAAGAATATACTGGATTACTTGGGTGGACCCAATATTTATAAGCTCCTTATAAGAAGGAGACAGGAGTGTCAGAGTAAGAGAGGGACTGGAAGATGGGACACTGCTAGCTTTGAAGATGGAGGAAGAGGCCACAAGCCAGGGAACACAGCAGCCTCTTGGGAAAGAAAACCATGCCCCCTCCTAGAGCCTCCACAAGAAACTGCAGCCCTACTGACACCTTGATTTTAACGCTATAGAACCCATTTTAAGACTTCTGGCCTACAGAACTATGAGATAATAAACTTGCATTGTGAATAACTACTAAGTTGTGGTTATTTGGTACAGCAGCAATAGGAAACTAATACAATCCATATTTAGGTTGTTCCCAGATTTAGCTAAAGAACAATGCTTTATATACATTTTTGTACAATTTTCTGATAAATACATGTAAGAATTTCTCCAGGTTATATGCTGACAAGTGGAATCACTATAGCTTGCTTCTAAAACAGTTGTACCAATTAACAATCCTACCAAGAGTGGATGGGAGTTACTGTTGAATCATATCCTCACCGATATTTGCTATTAATCTGTTTTAATTTTTGCCACTCTAGTAAGCATAAATGGGTATGATTTTTTTCTACCAAAGAGGTGCAATGTTCTTATGTTTTATGTTTGTTTCTTGTGTGAAATGTCTGTTTATGTTGTCTATTCATTTTTCTACTGGGTTATCTCTTCAATATTGACATGGAGGAATCAATACTGCTGTATCCCTATTCTATTCTTTTGAAAC